GAATATTTACATTTTCGTGAAAATAATTTTGAGCAATCAGTGGGCTTCATTCATTTTTTTAAAGCGTTAATGTAATGAAAAACATTTTTTTTTTAAATTATTATTTAAATCTTTGTAATTCGAGTGTTGTTTCCCTAGTTTTAGTGCACTAGATTGAAATGAGTAATTAATTTATTGGAAGGATAAATAGATAGATAATCTCGTTTAAAATGGGAGAATATTGACTTGACGTAATTCTGTTTATCCAACTACTTAGTAAATTTGGGTTTTTTGTCTCTTAATTATCATGTTCAAGGATAAAAAGCTAATGCATAGTGAGAACTTTCCCATACGCCTAATAAGACATTGGCATTAGAACTGATAATATCAACACGAAAAGGTTGTTAAGAAGATTTGCACGTAGTTTTTTAGCATAGTAATAAATTTTAAACTATCATTTACCATAACAAATATTCATGTATTTGAATTATTAATAGTTTAAATACCTCGGAAATGTAAAAATATAATAAAGTAAAAAGAATAAAATATAATTTATAGGAAGTAAGGAAGTAAATTTTATTCTAGGACGTTTAGTGCCCTAAGAATGACAGACAAGAACAATTAAATTATAACATAGATTTATCTGGCACATAATAATAATTAGGTAACCAAGTTATGTAAAATTTTTTTATTATTATTCAAATTTAAACTGTATTAAATGATAAATACAAGTAAATACGAAACAAGTACAACGTGAAGAGAAATTACCCTTTGGTAGCACTCCAATTATATTTCTATATTAGAAAGTCACGAGGCCATCTTCTTTTCAGACGCCTCGGAGGGTTATTAGGAATAGAAGAGGAAGCAAGGTTGAAAACAAGAGGGTTCGGATGGTTCAGAAGTTTATTATGGAAGGACAGGTATCTGTATTGAGCTAAATCGGAAACATACGGTACATTAAGGTCGGTATGGATGATTTTATTTGGGACAAAGTAGGAAAAATTGAGAATTTTGGATTGTAGGGATTGGATACGAGAGGAATGATTTAGTAGAGCTCGATCCCTCAAGTCCAAATAGGCCTTATTATAGTAATACATATGAGTCATTTGTAAATAGATGGAAGTTAAGAGCGTTTGTTTAGTATGTGATGCATTAGTCGAAAACGTTGAGCTGTTTCTAGTCGTTTTAGTCTGGTATGGGTGTTCGAGTAACATTAAGATTAAAATAAAGTACTAGTCTATATATAAATATAACATGATGAAATTATAGGTAAATATAGTATGCTACTTTATACTATGCTATACTATATCAATCAGGATAAGGCTTACCTTCTATTAAAAATTACATGGATTTTCATATTTAGTTTAATAAAAATCACTAGAGCCGATTTCGAAAAAAATCACTAAAATGTAAACTCGGTTATATAAAGTGCGAAATCACAAAAACATTTCTTTCTAAACAAAGAAAAAGATCTAGCTTTAAAAATAAAGAATATTGCCTTCAAAATTATATGTTTACAAAAATAAAATTGAGGAAAATGATGAATAGGGTATACCTTGCATATATTTACATCGTAATTTAAGATTGCATCACCAATGAACGCATTACCAATGATGCAATGGAAACAGAGACAAATGATGATTTTCCTACTTAATCTTGAAAAATGGCTCACTGTACAAATGTAAACAAGCAATGCAAGAAAGTACCTTTATGACGTTACGCAATATATTATTTTGGAAAAAGGCCAAGGTTAAGAATGCAACATTTTGAAACTTGCTCAAAGGTTACATTAAATAGAGGAAGTTATTTAAAATCTTTATCTTTACAAATATTCGTCTAAGATTAATGCAGGAAGAAAAACTTATTGACTGTCGTATTCAAATATGAAAGACACTCCAAAAACATTTATTACAGCCGAGCTTAAGAAATTACAACTTTTTGGAAAGGACTTGTTTCATAAATTATGAAAACTGCTGTGAAAAGAACTTCACCAACACATGAGACAGTTTTTGATTCAGATAAAAATCAATAAGAAGTATGATATTGATTAAATAAACAGTATCTAGTAAATAATTATGAAGAGAAGAATGGTTGAGATGATCATTCAAAAGAAAAATGGCAAAAAAAAAAAAATAATATCTATTTTAACAATTATTTATTAAACTGATTAATTATTATTTATTTTTGCCCTTTTTCTTTTGACTGATCATCCCAACCATCTTTCTCTACATTATTCGCTAAAGTCAACCATCAATTCACAACTAGTAAAAAATTCATAGATTTTTCAAATTATAAATGTTGTTTAACAAAATTTTAATTTAGCGTTGATTGTATAAGAAGACTTATTTATTTCAATTATTTTATTTCTGAAGTGCATATTGTTATTTCATTATCATTGTTATTATTTTTTCAATTACCTATATTTATTTATCTTTTGAATGTATGCATTACATGAATAAACATTTGAAGTCCTAATACTTGTTGCCATTGAATGTTGCGGATTGAATTATTATTAAATAAATTAGTTTGACTTTTTTTTTTTTTTATACTGTGTGAAGAGTTCATGTTGAACATAAATTTTTCAATACAGCGTAATCATGTAGTTTTTCAGTCACGATTTCTTTTAACTTTCAATTACCTTACTCGTTTTTCATTATAAAAATCTCTATAATATGAGTGTTTTATAATTTTTAAAATTATACTCGGCGCGACTATGAGGAACTACTTTTTTTTATTTGTTCATTAGCAGCTCGTTACTAACCATCTTAAATATCTAATTTTAATTGCAATTAGTTCCACCAAATTTTTTTTCGCTTATTTACAATTATCATGATCATCCTTTAGATTGACGTAATCCTGACGTATTTTGAGTTTTTTATAAGCAATTCAAGTCAAAAACTACTCAGCTTCTAGTTTTATCCGGTCGCACAGTGGGCTGTTACAAAGTTCTCCCTTAAATTCATTGCTAATGGTAAAAAATATTTTTACATAATTGGGAAAAGTAAATTTTTATTTCGAGAACTTTTTTACCTAACCAAAAGATAAATTTCACAAGATATTTTACGTCTTAGACTCAGAAATCACATTTTATTTTAAAAAAAATTATATATATACGACTAACCTAGTTAATAAATTAGCATTCTAAAACTAAAACATAAAAAAATAGAGAAAATACTAAAAAAAGGTATGCTGAACAAATATTTTTAATTTAATAAATTTATAGACTCATGTATTACTTTACTAAATAACTGATAGACAAAGCCTGTACAAAATGATTATAATAGCAAATATCTTAAATGTCTCATCATCGTCACTGCTGATCCTTAAAATGTTGCTGTTATGTTGAATCTTTTATCATATCTTAAATTCTCTCAGACCTTTATTCGTGAAGGTTAAATTTATTTAGAACATATTCAGAGAAGTATTTGGTCATTCCTGATTCGTGCAGTTAATTATACCATTGGACATAAACAATGGTCACGTATTTTAGTCACATGCCATCCAATTAAAATGAAAAAAAAAATATGTAACTGATTTCAATGGAATATTGTGGGGTTAAACTAGATAAATATGTAAAGTGACGTTTAAATACTGGATATATGCGTATTATAGTGTACTCAGATGTTTCGGTAAAGTTACAGCTTTTTGAAATTTGCATTTGAAAATTTGCAATTTTGGAAAATTACAACTGATCATTTTTTCAAATTTCTACACAATCTCAAAAATATCACTTATTTAAGAAGAGAAGGATGGTTGGGGTGATCAGTCAAAAAAAAAAAAAAAAGAAAGCAAAAATAAATAATAATATTTATTTTAACATTTGCCGAGTTTCGGGCCTTCATCAGGGCTATGAATCAGATAACAAGGTATAAGAAACATAAATAATGTAGGTAAAAAAATTAAAGTAAAATGAAGTTGGTAGAGTAATGATAATAGTAAGAACTAAGAGACAAATAATAATAACCGTTACAAAGCGTGGAATGATGAAGTAAACATAATCAAAAAAGGTGACATAAGTATTAAAATGGTAATCTTAGAATAAAATGTATTTTTTTCTAAGATTAATATTTTAATATTTGTGTCACCTTTTTTTCATGGGTATTAATCCCATGATTTTGAAAATTAAATCGTAACATAAAGACGTAAAATTTATTTGTTGTTCACTCTGTCAATCAAACTAGTAACCTTTATTATTAGAACTGGATCTCAATTTTCAATGTTTGCCGTCAAATTTACTTGTAGTGTTTGTATTTTTTTTTGGCTAATTCTTGTTTTTCTTTGAGCTTTAAGTATTTAAAAGAAATCTTTACGGGAAAAGAAAAATAGGCGATGAATGGAGAGGATGGAACAACCGAGAGCTTTTAGGTATTTCTCAAAATTATACGAAATTTGTTTCGTGACGGAATCCAAGTAATGAATTCGATCTTCTTACTTTTTCTAGAATAGATTTGGTAGGACCTCCACCGTCTAATCCTCCTCTGTTATCCTAGAAAATGGCGGTAATCGGTGGTAATCGAGAAAAAAAGATGAAAAATGGCAATAGATTTGAGTAGGTGATTGTTACCAATAACAATAATAATGACTTGTGGACAACTTTAATTTATTCAAGACATCCCAGGCACTGATATTGTATGGGTCTTCCTGATTATAGGTTTCTAATAACTTAGAAGGAGGAAAGGATAGGTAGATATATAATATATTGTTGTATTTAAGAAATATGATTAAAAAGTTAATAAAATTTTAGGCAATATATTTAAACACTTCTTTATTTATTTTTTACAGTATATCTATAATGATTATAAAATTACTTTACATATACAACTAAATAATTACATGATAAGGAATACTTTCTGATAGAAATATGCTTAAAAGCCATACATTATTTCTTTTGGATACACCTTTCATGCCATTCATTTTGGATTATAAATGACTGAAAAATCCTTTTCTCTTTAATATGAACGGTATTAAAACCTAATGCTTCCATACTAATAAAATCGTACAGGACTTATAGAGGAGGTCTACAAAAATAATTGATGCTTTCAAAGACGTCACTCTTATTTTAATACTTATAATTGTCTAAAATGTAGTTACTTATGATTATTACAGTAAAAGTATAAGGTAGAACACTAGTTTTTAGTTAACTTATTAGTCATTTAGCTTGAAGACCAGTTAGCACAACGTTGGTCATACTAAAAATAAAAGCAAGCAACATATTTCGTTCATTGAGAAATGTCCGTCATCACTCTTCGGCTCAGTCGACGGCCAGTTTCCTGAAGGTACCTTCAATTCCGTAAGTGTTCTGGGAGTCTGGAGGACGCTTCTTCTCGTCTGAGGCTTGCCTTGTGGATTGCAGGAACCATTCTCTATTTTCTTCCAGTTGATCCAACCAGTAATCTAGAAGAAGATATTTAGATAGAAGAAACCTAACACCCCTAATATAAAATTTTAAAAAAATTGGTGGGCGCAACACACAACTTTCACTTACCGCTTAACTTTGAATATAAATTATTTTCTTGAGCTATTATAAAATTTTTAAATTGCATTTTTAACCGAGCTAAAGTTAAAAGATTACAGCTAACAAATCGTAAATACCATTAAAATAACAAAATCCTAATTATTATATCACGGGTTGATTATTTATTGTAATATCCGTTGATTATGGATTGTACGATCCGTTGATTATGGATTGTACTACTATTAGTTATTAAACTATTGTTTTACATTGCAAAGTTTACTAAAACGGAATTAAGAGATTTGCATTGCCTGTCACAGACAGGTCAAAAGTTGTCACACTAATTGTAAGTGGGTACTGTTGGAATATCGCAAAGGAAAAAATTCATCAAATTAATCACTAATTTAATTTCCTAAAACGTTTACATCGATTAAGAAAATTTCATTTAATTTCCTTGACAACACGTGATTTACGTTAAATAATGTACTTTTCAGAAATTATTATTTATATTTTTTTCGTCACTTTCCGTTACCTTCTACAACTTTCTATATTATATATTGTTCTTTTTTTTTTTTTTATTCTCCGCTTTCCAACGATGTATTATACGTATAGCTTTTGACTATTATTTCCAGATATTCATTTTTAACATGGTTAAGTATTTTTATCTTTTTCTATATTTTTTTTTCTGTATTTTTATTTGATTATCAAATTCATTTTCATTCAATTTTAATAATGGGAGATGGTTAATTATTTGAACTAAACCATATTAAAAGTACTTTAGAGGAAGACGTATATGAACATTGGGCACTTAAGCCCTGTAATGTGACATCAATGGGGATCAGACCTACATGATATTAAAGACCACTTAATTATACAACAATATATCGAGTTTATTCAAAATTGTTAGAGCCGTTGTTGCGTGCTCACATATACACAGACACACAGACCATTTTTCGGGACTTGGTTATTGGACTGGAATAAATCTCTTACATTTATTTCCAGAATAATATAGTTTAATTTTTTACCATATTTTTGAATAACATCTAATAGATAGGAAAGACAAAATACTTGTGACTGAAAAGTGTAACCAAATATATCTGTGCTTAAAATAATGTGAATCCAAGAAATGAAAAAAAAAATCATGCGTGAACTCAGCTATTTTAGATATCCACCTTACAACAAAAGAGGGCCTTTCAAAATGTCTAAAGTTCAATTACAATCCAAACATTAGACACATTTTTGGAAGAGCCTTATATTATCAATTGAACCTTTCACTTGACAGAATGACTCCATTTTCAACATTTTTGAGTAAAACCATTTTAGTGATATTTCTTATTGGAAAATTTATAATATCAGTACAGACAGTGAGTAAGTTGATTTCAAAGTATGTGATTGTAGTTTCGAAGTATAGAACTGTGAACAAAGGTATACATTTAATCAATAGAAATATCACTAACATTTTAAATTAAAAATGTTGAAATTGTAGTTATTCATTCTTGTCAACTGTAGCTCAAATAATGATGACCAAACGTATCTTAAAGGCGTTATATATATTCTTTACTTTCGGATAAGCTCAATGAGCAGATAGATATAAATTAGATAGTATTTTCCAACCTGAATGATATATATTTAAATAAGCTTATATGTATGTGACAGAAATGATTGAATAAATATGTGAGCTTTTGAATAAAAATGTAGTTTCATTCAAAAACTGTAGCTTTGAGATATTCAACACTTTAGTGGAAGTTCTATAAACATAGGGATTGAATAATAATAAGTATGTACGGGTAGGCAATAACAGCTTACTATTTCAGTTAAAAATAGTCAGTGCAATATGAAAGCATGAAGGTACTTCATTTAGTAATTCATTAATTATTAAATATGAAAATTCAAAATGAAACTATTTTTGCATCCAATGACTCATATGTAAGAAAAACTAATCTCTAAAAAAAAGTTTTAACTTGATGTATTTTCGCTTAAGCAATATTTTAAGTTATTTCCTTGTGGTACAAGGATTTGCTTATTTCCCCGATAATCTGTTCTAGAGAAGCCAAGCAGTTAAAGAATTTTCTTTAATAGCAACTTCAATATACTTAAATTTTGTTATCTGCCCTAGATAAATAGTAATTCAAATTTTTATTTACCAGCATAATTGCATACATTTTGTCAGATCGATTGATCTTTATAATTACAGTCTTATTCATTCAAAAATATATTCACAGGTGAGTAACGCAAAAATAATTTTTTAAATCGTGATGATAGTTACTGAAAGTTCCACATTCAAACAAATAAGCTCTTTAGTTTATATATTACTATATTAGTTTACTAATAGTTGCTATGGTGACCACTTACCCTTTAGTTCGACGGAAGATTTGTCATTCCCTCCTAATTCAGATGGCAACATTTCTAGCGGCATGTACTCTTTTAGGAATGACACTCCTTCGTTGACAACTTTTATCTAAAAAATAAATAACATTAAAACAATAAGAAACGATAATATTAAAAAGGAATAATTCCAGTGAAGATTTTTTATTGGGCGAGAATATTGTTCTGAGAATAGTGTATAAACTGTATTTACTTGCATATTATAAACTGGCCGTAAATTTAGGATGACTTTTGTCATTTATCTATTTATTTATTTATTCAACTTTAATTTTTTAGTTTTGTCTATATTTATGGAATTGTGTTGATATATGTTTGTGCGATTTAGTCTTGTATTTCTAGCATTCGAATCCTTTGGGGGGAAAATGTATGTGTTATGTAGCGGTAATTGTTTAATGAGATATATTAATGATACTGAATATAATTAGTATTATGAAAAGGGAGAATGAATGGTGGAATAATGCAATGTAAGAGCTATGTCCAAATGGATTGTATGCTGTATATAAAGCAACTTTATGTAGTAGGGCAGCATTACATTCAATAAAGTATTTTCTGTCTTTTAGAAAAAGTTTTCGAAGTTTTTACTGTACAAGCAATTGAACACACGAATCATCATATATAAGTGAATGATATCTTTGCTATATTGTCACTCTTGAACAAATAATTCATTGATGTGATCTAATTAACAATTATAGTTACCCTGTTAAACAACTTGGCTTTCATCAAAGGCTTAAACAAGTTGTTGGCTACGAATTCAATGAATGGAGGAGCGTTGAAACATAAGCTTCCCTTAAGCTTGACTGGATACCCATCCTAGAGAAGAATAAACTAATAAATAATTATAATTATAATAAATAATTATTACATAAATTATGGAAAACATTTGGATCAATATTTCTTTTAAATTTATTTATTCTGATATTTACAAGTAAATAAAATACATTTAGTAAAAATAATAACATGACATCACTTGTTGAGCCACTACTCTAATAAAAAAAATGTATTTACAATAGGAGATCTCCAGGTCATCTTCTTTTCAGATACCTCGGAGGGTTATCAGGGATAGAAGATGAAGCAAGTGGCGAGAGGATCTGGATGGTTCTGAAGTTTATTATGGAAGGATAGGTATCTGAATTGGACCAAATCGGAAAGATAAGGAGCATTAACATCTTTATGGATTATTTTATTGGAGAAAAAATAAGGAGAATTGAGGATTTTGGATTGTAAGGATTGGGTACGAGAGGAATTCGATGGTTTATTGGAGCTCCAAAGCTCAACTCCGTAAGTCCAAATAGATCTTATTGCAGTCATGTATATGAGTCTTTTGTAATTGTCTTTTGTCTAGTAAGCGTTGGAGTAGTCGGCAACTTTGAGCGGTTTCTGGTCGTTTCAGTCTGGTATGAGGATTCCAAGTCAGACGTTTGTCCAAGGTATCGGATTTGTTCAACAGGGGTAAGTGGGGTATTATTAAAGGATACTGTAGGACAGGAGGTCATAGATTTACGGCGTGGAATAATAATAATTTTAATTTTTGTAAATATACAATATCTCTTTTTATTCAAATGCGTAAATCATATGTGTTCTGTAAATAATGCAAAATTAACTTAAGATTCATGACATCGTTGGCATCATATTAAAACCTGTCTAACGTTGCACATTTGTTGCTTTAAAATGGTGGCGACGACATCAATAGTATACCACTTCCAATGTTTTTAGAACTTTGAGTTCTTAGCACCTAGGCCAGTTTGGAGCGACTGTATCTTTATGGGAGGAAAGAAAAAGAAATAATGAGTCCAACAGAAGGACTTAAGGAATATTTGGTGGAAAATGGCGTCGGACACATTCGTGGCAGAGACTGGTGGATGTGCATTAGTTCACATTAGCGTCTATCTGCTGTTTTCAATTCGGTATAATTCCAACCGATCAAAGATAGGTTTTATTGTAAGTCATTTTGTTAGTTATAGATAATTAGAACATAGAACTAGTTATTACTTTAATACTGTAAATTATGTACCAACAAATCTTTCTATCGTTCTTCACAATAAATATGTTTTATTTTATTATTCTAATAATGTCTACCTTCGATGTGTTTTACAATCGTCGAAGGTTGATTTGCTTTGGTTGAGTGTCAATATCGAAGTCCAATCAACCACCAAGGCACAATGATGCTTAAATAAAGTTCTCCACGATGCTCACCTGAAAAGAACTCAAAATGGCCGCTAGGATGGTAGGGTTGAACATGGTGATCAACGTGGAAGGCACCCCAGTACAGTCCATGACCAAGTACAGCCCCGCAGACTCAGGCCATTTCTTTATACAGAGTTCCAGCATCATCAGCATCCGCGTGGCATCGTGCGGGTGGTCAAATACTTTGCTGAAGCAATCGTTTGCTGACATGAAGAACACTCGGTATCCTTCAGGGGTAGGGTTCGACAAGAAGAACATGTTCCTGAGCAAACAAACAAAGAATTTACTAAAGTAAAAATGGAAAAGTGAAACAATATGTTTAAACAGGTTATTTGAGAATCAATCCAAAACATGCTTGAGTCTTTTAAAAACGGTTAATAATTTTAACTATATGATAATTTCTAATGTATCTAAATTCAAGAATTAATCAGTTGAAGGTTATGTATTGACTGTAAAGGATTTGAGCTAGCTGGCAAGGCCAATGATATCAGACCCAAACATAAAAAAAAAACATTGATATTTTTTCATATCACCTAGCCTGCTTCGCGGCAACGATTAATAAACAAACGTGATGGGTGTGCCCTAAGCAAAAAAAAACTAGTTATTGTTTATTGCATATATTTTTTTGCATCCTTGCTCCTTAGAAGATTACAGATTATATTCTGAATTCGTTTATAGCAATATGCTATTCATTTATAAAAATAAATAAATCACTTCCCAGTTTTTCTTCCATTCTTGCCATTATTCTTCCAACATAGTAACCAAAATAGAAATATTTACTTAATTACACATTTGTTCCAAAAAATATTAAAGTATTACGTAATAAACAATTTAATAATGTTGGCAACATGAATAGCAGTGCTCGTTTTATTGCAAAGAGTCATCTAGTTTATTTTATTATTTTTGAATATTAAATCATTGAGTTATTTGATTGATTTTTGACATATGATGGGGTTAGTATTATTTTGTTACAATGAATGAGTTTTTGCATTCAAAGTTTAGCTATACTTAAAAGTATAGCTCCATTAAAAACTTACTTTGTTATTGAATTTTTACAATAAACCGACGATTTAGACAGTACATAATTTTTAAAATATATACGACAAAACAGTTTTTACTTAGGAATAAAACTAAAACATCTATAAAGCGTAAAAGATAAAGAAAATAACAAATTTCTATAAGGCATGATGTTCACTGAAACCGTGTCTCGCCGAATAGTAACCCACGTATGATGAAATATTTTTTACAATTTGAAATACTATCATGCAATTTAAATTAAAATGGTCTCAATAACATACACGGTGGGCCAGACCCCCTTACCGTGCACCCCCCCCACATCCCTATAAATTGCATATCGTTGTGTTCCTTGTAACTATTTATTAAAAAAAAGCCAATGTTCCCACAAAAAAAAGTGAACGCACTGCCCCAAAATGGCGTCCAAAGATGGCGGATTGACGACTTTGACTTTAATTAGTTTTTTGGTCACTGCGAATCAGCATTTGGCTTAATTTCCTCATAGTTGGTCTTTTATTAAAGCTGAATAGTCATAGAATAATAAACCATGAAGAAATATTAAAAAATAATTGGCTTAGACTATGAAAAACACTACTAAAGTCAATTTTTTTAACAAAAAAATTTTCAAGTTAAAAATCAAGCGTCATTTGTAATTAAACGGCCTACAATAACGCAAAACGTGCTGAAATAAACCATCTGGAGAATATATTTTTCTTTCCAAAACGCTGATTATTTTTTAAAAACTTTTGAACAGTTCCGTAGAAAATGCACTTATGCGGCAGAAAAGCGGTACTGGCGTGGGTGCCTACAGGCCTCTACCACACCATTCAGTACACATAAATGGCTTAGTTAAAGTGATATAATAACATTTTTGGTACATTATATTGGTTTTATTAACGAACAAATATTAATGCAATAATTTAATTGTAAAAAAAAAAAAATTAAAATTTTTTAAAAAAATTTATTATTTTTTTTTTATTTAACCATCTTTATTTCTACACGTAGGTCGTTTAAGAAGACCTTGATTGTAAAAATGATACAATTATAATAATAAAACTTAATTAAAAACTTTGCTAAATATCTTGATTTTTTTTTATTTAACGTTTGCAATTTAACATTGTGTTTTGTATATTTACTGATTCTTAAAGGTAATTAAAATTTATATATACTTCCCAGGAAATGAGTCGTATTAATACCTGTTTTATAAACTAAAATAATATATACCTAATCTGAACTATATATAATGAATAGCTGCTGGGTTGTATAGTAAAACTCATATATCACTAATTAAAAAATTAATTTTTATTTCCTTTATTTTGTGCGGAAGTTGGACTATATCATAAATAAATAGGAAATTTTATTATTGAATGAATTATTCTCTCTGCACAAAGAAAGATAGAAACGGTGACGCTATAAGTTCTTCTATAAGCCAGAACTGATTGTTTGGATTTGGTCTTGAAATGAGGAAAAAGGCGAAATTGAACCCGAAAACTGGAAAAATACATTAAGCGAACGAGAAAGGAAGTGCCAAAACCTCGGAAAAGATAAAAAGTACCAGTATCCATTATATGGCTAAACGAATGTATAGTAGACAGATGAAGAGAATACTTCAACATGCTGCTAAAAGGGGGTCAATTGCAGTTTGGATGATATTAAGTGGACGATGTAGGTTTATTATGGTAAAAATCACTTTATTTTCGATTGCTGAAGGTGCACATCGGGACTATCTTCACTTTGAAGCAGGATATAGAGAGGTATATCGAGAAAGTTATAGCTCATAGCTCTCCTTCTGCTTAGTGCATTTGCAAACGATTTTTTAAGGAATCTAAAATGAAAACCTGCTTTTCTGAAAGACAATTAGATATTAGCACAATCCTAAGAGTAAGGCACTAAGGAGATAGAGAGATATTTTTCGTTGTATATAGACTTCTCTATAACCTGCCTTAAAGTGAAGCCAGTCTCAATTTTCAACTTCTTATTCTCGACAATATTTCTTATTCCACCTTCTACGATTCTTGAGTATAATTTCTTTGGTACACTAAACAGGAATGGATCTTGATGGGTATTACATTAAGAATCGTAGAAGCTGGAATAAGAAATATTGTCGTTTGCCAGAGAGATATGGATTGAGAAACTCAAGTTGCACATTGGAAGAGAAGTTGAAAATTGAGACTGGCTTCACTTTAAGGCAGGTTATAGAGAAGTCTATATACAACGAAAAATATCTCTCTATCTCCTTAGTGCCTTACTCTTAGGATTGTGCTAATATCTAATTGTCTTTCAGAAAAGCAGGTTTTCATTTTAGATTCCTTAAAAAATCGTTTGCAAATGCACTAAGCAGAAGGAGAGCTATGAGCTATAACTTTCTCGATATACCTCTCTATATCCTGCTTCAAAGTGAAGATAGTCCCGATGTGCACCTTCAGCAATCGAAAATAAAGTGATTTTTACCATAATAAACCTACATCGTCCACTTAATATCATCCAAACTGCAATTGACCCCCTTTTAGCAGCATGTTGAAGTATTCTCTTCATCTGTCTACTATACATTCGTTTAGCCATATAATGGATACTGGTACTTTTTATCTTTTCCGAGGTTTTGGCACTTCCTTTCTCGTTCGCTTAATGTATTTTTCCAGTTTTCGGGTTCAATTTCGCCTTTTTCCTCATTTCAAGACCAAATCCAAACAATCAGTTCTGGCTTATAGAAGAACTTATAGCGTCACCGTTTCTATCTTTCTTTGTGCAGAGAGAATAATTCATTCAATAATAAAATTTCCTATTTATTTATGATATAGTCCAACTTCCGCACAAAATAAAGGAAATAAAAATTAATTTTTTAATTAGTGATATATGAGTTTTACTATACAACCCAGCAGCTATTCATTATATATAGTTCAGATTAGGTATATATTATTTTAGTTTATAAAACAGGTATTAATACGACTCATTTCCTGGGAAGTATATATAAATTTTAATTACCTTTAAGAATCAGTAAATATACAAAACACAATGTTAAATTGCAAACGTTAAATAAAAAAAAAATCAAGATATTTAGCAAAGTTTTTAATTAAGTTTTATTATTATAATTGTATCATTTTTACAATCAAGGTCTTCTTAAACGACCTACGTGTAGAAATAAAGATGGTTAAATAAAAAAAAAATAATAAATTTTTTAAAAAAATTTTAATTTTTTTTTTTTTTACAATTAAATTATTGCATTAATATTTGTTCGTTAATAAAACCAATATAATGTACCAAAAATGTTATTATATCACTTTAACTAAGCCATTTATGTGTACTGAATGGTGTGGTAGAGGCCTGTAGGCACCCACGCCAGTACCGCTTTTCTGCCGCATAAGTGCATTTTCTACGGAACTGTTCAAAAGTTTTTAAAAAATAATCAGCGTTTTGGAAAGAAAAATATATTCTCCAGATGGTTTATTTCAGCACGTTTTGCGTTATTGTAGGCCGTTTAATTACAAATGACGCTTGATTTTTAAGTTGAAAATTTTTTTGTTAAAAAAATTGACTTTAGTAGTGTTTTTCATAGTCTAAGCCAATTATTTTTTAATATTTCTTCATGGTTTATTATTCTATGACTATTCAGCTTTAATAAAAGACCAACTATGAGGAAATTAAGCCAAATGCTGATTCGCAGTGACCAAAAAACTAACTAAAGTCAAAGTCGTCAATCCGCCATCTTTGGACGCCATTTTGGGGCAGTGCGTTCACTTTTTTTTGTGGGAACATTGGCTTTTTTTTAATAAATAGTTACAAGGAACACAACGATATGCAATTTAAAGGGATGTGGGGGGGGGGTGCACGGTAAGGGGGTCTGGCCCACAGACTAACATTCCTTAATATAAATATTTATAATTTGGTTTCTACCCTTAGTTCTACTGACTAGCAAACTGGTAACTAATGCTATATAGCGAGGATACTGATGTGTGAATAGAAAGACATTCCATGAATTAAAAATAAATAGAATTATGATTGTTTATTTAAATTTAAAAATTGCCAACAAAAAATATTGCATGTAGACTTGGGACACATGTTCTTATCATATTTGTTCGGAAATTCTCTTAGAAGATAATAAAGGTAAACAAACACTATTTTAAAGATCAAAGAACCTAAAACATTTTCCTAAATTCCACAGAATAAAAGAAGTTAAAGTGGTGGTCAACTTTGGCCTATTGAAAATAATAAAATAATTTTGGATAGAACAGGTAATCTGGAAGATGGATTCCTTAGAGAAGAAACAGGTAGTCTCAGATAGGAATTATTTGGAAATGATTGTCTTTTACAGTCAGAAGAAGTGCTGGTGAGAAAACTTGCAAGAAGTGCCTTGCAAAGAAGGAAGAATTGGCAACTGAGAAGACCAGATAGACAAGATACCAGAATAAAGTAGCTGAGGATTCCATCATATCCCCGCAAAAAGTATTAATAATACCTGTGTGGGGGCGGGGTGGCCGATTGGGCTAACGGTTGTGCACAGCACCTCGAGTTGCCAGGCAACCAGATAACCGAAGTTATGCGATCACAAAAAAAGTACAAGTTCACGTCCCGGTGTAATATACTCGAGAAAATACCATATAGCCTGAAAGGCGATGTAGTGAAGAACAAGAAAAAAAAGTCATTATACCTGTCATTTAAAACCTACTGATGTAAATCTGTGTTGGCTATCCATACAAAAATAATGTGATTAGTTATTCCTAAATTAGCATCCTCAATGCCATACTCTAATATTGTTAGAATGTTTAAAACACAATTACAATTTTATTCATGGCCTTTTTTCCTGCATGCCAATATTTAGATGTGATATATAAATCGGTAACACGAAATTGCATTCCTTTAGAAAGGAAATACAATAGGAATTATAGCACAATATTGTCTGTGGTGTCTAGTTATTTTGATTCCTATTAAATATATAAATATAAATAAGATTGATTTTCTTCTGGAACCAATAGAAATAAAAATTCATATATCGATAAATATTTTAGATAGGAAATATACATAAATCTCTTTTTGGAACTCCCTTTCCGTCTAAGAAAAAATGTTTGTCCAGAAACGTATACCTACTGTTCCTCGTTTGGTCGAATGACGGATTAACTTTTTTTTTCATTTATTTATGATATTTACAATACAAATATATCAAGTAAATGTGTATAATAACATGAAAATATCAGTTGAGAATCTATCCACTGGTAGCACTCTAATAATATGTCTACATAATGAGATCACGAAACCATCTTCTTTTCAGATGCTCTGGAGAGTTATCAAGAATCGAAAAGAAACGAAGGCTAGAAAGGTTTCAGATGGTTATGAAATTTAGAAAGGATAGGTATCTGGATTGGGCCAAATCGGAAACATATGGAATATTAACGTTTTTATGAATTATTTTATTTGTGACAAAGTAAGGAGCATTGAAGATTTTACGAAGGATTTTGGATTGTAAGGTTATACGAGAGGAATTTGATGATACCTTGGAGCCCCATAGCTCAACTCCGTAAGTCCAAATACATCTTATTATAGTCATGTATCAGAGTCTTTTGTAATTAATTGGAAGTTTAGAGCGTTTGTCTAGTAAGTGTTGGAATAACCAGAATCGTCGAGCAGTTTTTTGTCATTTGAGGCTAGTATGAGGATTCCAAGTGAGACGTTTGTCCAGGTGGAGTCCAGTGTATCGGATTTGTTCAACACTGATAAGAGGAGTGTTATTAAAGGATACTGTAGTACAGAAAGTCATGGGTTTACGATGAAGGGTAAAGGTGATGTGATGAGACGTATTGGCATTTATTTTAATCATCCTGTTTTGACACCATTCTTCAAGATTTGTGATGTGTGATTGAAGAGCTTGGGATGCAATTGATGGATCGTTATTAACTAATAGGTTACATGTGTCATCGGCATACGTAGTAATGACAGTGTTAGGATGGGTTGGAATATCAGCTGTATATACTGTGTAAAGAATGGGACCTATGGTACTATCTTGAGGAACACCAGCAGATTGAGAAAAGAGTGATGAATAGGCATTATTGTGATTTACTTTGAAGTGTCTATCAGTAAGGTAGAAACTGATGAGAAAGTATGTAGTATGTAAAGCAATCCCGGGTGCCATACTCGATCAAACGCCTAATCAACGTCGAGACAGAGTCCAGTGCCATACATTCCGCGCTCCAATGCAGAGGAGACAACGTCTACCACACGATGGCATTGCTGGATAGTATAATGGGATGTACGGAATCCAAATTGGTGATCAGGGATTATGTGGTCAGAATCTAGGATAGGATATGGACATTATAAATGTTATAGGATGGATTAACTTTAGTAGAATGCAAAACTAGCAAGCAGCTAGCAACAAGCAAAACTAGAAAGCAAAGTAAAACTACTGGTCGGATTAAAGTGGCTTGTTTACGGTTTCAGCTGACATTAAGCATTCTAATTCTAAAGCATTAAGGATTCTAGTATAATAGTTATCCATAAAAGTACTTACACAGCCTTAGACTTCTCTCTGAATTGGGCGTTCACGTCTCTAGTTATCTCATCGTAGAGTTTCGCCGCTCTGTTACGATTTGAATAATAGGCATCCAACTTACTTTTTGCTCCTTCCAGTGTCTTCGTACCGCAGACGAATGCCAATAGGAGTTCATGTTCTAAGACAAGAATAGATTTTGATAATCTTGGATTGTGAATAAGAATCAACTTGTAAATGATGCTTAGTGCAAAATGAAAAACAGATTCTTATTTAATGTACAGAAATATGTACTTGAAACCACGCCACGATAAGAAAAAATGTTAAAGTAGATAACAAAAAAACTACACAAGGCAAAATTACAAAAAAAAAAATCTAAAAGTGTCTCGTATTACAAATAGCTTTTGGCTTTTAATGTTTAAATATAACATGAATATATATCACAGAACTTGTTTGAACTAATTAATCATGAAAACGGATTTTTTTTGGGGGGAGGAGGAAATTATTTGGATAGCTGTCACGGTAAAACTATAAAATGAAAAAATTATACTTATCATCGAATGATAATCAGACATTTTAAATATAAGAATTTATATAGCATTTAAAAAACAGATGCTGACCGGCTTAAAACGCCTCTGATGGGAGTGAGGAGAGCTTATAATACTTGTAACTTATTTATCTTAAGAAAAAATAATTCCGTATTTTCAATTTGACAAAATTCATTGAATAATGTATGTTTTTTAATGTGAAACTCCTAAACTTAAAGAATTATAGTTCATGAAATATATAATATATAACTGACCAGTATATACCATTTATCATTTCAATTAAAACTCAGTTATTTCGCAATAATATGGTTTGTTCCAGCACGAGTTTTGACAAGCAGCTGTCAGTCTCTTGAACAGTACGGTGTTTTGGACGGAAAAAAATGTTTCGGCGCACTTTGGATTGTTTTCTAGTCAAAGCTCGTGTTAGAACAGATCTATTGATTGTAAAGATCTTATCAAAGCTACACATTCTGTTAATGGATTAAATGATAACTTACCAACATCGTGAGGGAGGTGGGGCTGCTTGTCGAGCCAGTCCCTCAGCCGTTGCACGTCCTCTTCCACCGCCTCCTTGCTTCTCTTGTTAGAAATCTCTCCAACCATCGCTCGACTTCAGGTCCTTCCGTATTTTCTACAACCTAAATCATAATATATATATAGAACACAAGGGATGTTGAGGTCATGGTATATAGTTCTGTTTGTAACGTAATATGGTGCATAGACTATTGTCCTGAGAAAGGACTCCAGACTGAATGGATTGCATGCGTATTCGAAAATTCAGCTATCCCCCAAAGATCAAGTTCGTAGGTCCAGAAGGACTTCAGTATGATTTTGTATATTAATAATTTGTTTTAAATTCAGAGATTGGAGTTTCTGCGAAGCAGTCTATATAACTGACCAAATCGTCGATTAAGTTCATGTTCTTTTAGTCTGGTTTGAGAGTTCCATGTTAGTCGTTTTTCTACAAAAGAATCCACGATACCGCACAGGGTGTGAGATGGGAAGAGGTGTAGAGTTGAAAAGGATAGGTTGACAGGATCTGCGTCGGAGGGTAAATGCGACATGGTTGCATGTGGGTTTGTTAATTTTGATGCGACGTTATATCACACATTAGTCACCCATAAAAACTCTTAAATCTTTTCATATTCATCAATTTTATTTAAAAATAATCTTTTATTTATTTTATTTTATTTTTTTAAAAGACGATGACTTGTACTTTCTTTACGATTGACTTGTTCTTGGCGATTTAGAGATCTTTATTTTCAACGTTCTATATCAATCTGAGAAATTATTTCAGATGGGAAAATATATGTTATAATATTAGACAACTAACAAGAAACTTAGGCACCAAAGTAAGATTTTATAGGTTAAGATCGATCCAACCAAGATATTGAAAATTTTGTTTGTTATCTATCATATTTATCTAAGGTTTTAATCATTAACAAGACCGCAATCAAATCTTCATTACCTTGATACACAATAATCCATGATTTTAGCCCATGTTACCCATCTAAGTGGTCGTCAAGACAAAACATGAATTACCTCGATCAAAAAGATCGAGTGAAAAAAGGCAAAAAGGATGAATATGGGAAACGCAAACCTTTCTTGAAAGAAATAACGAGTTCACCGTGTGAGACTTCTTGTCGCCGAACAATGCCCAACAAAACAAGGATCTTTCTATCAGACCTTGGCGTTCGTGTTAGTGAATTCGTGGCGTTCGTGTTAGCATTAAATATTTTGTACTTGTTGAGAATTATCGCTTACTGCTAAACAACTGAATGGATATTTATTTATTTTTTATTCGACAAGCCAGAAGCAATGTTATATGTTTTGATTGCTTTTTTTTAAGTTATGTAATGAGTGAGTGGCTTACGTGTTCGATTTCCATGTTAAATAATATTAAGTATCCCGGTGAGGGTTTTGAAACAATAGAGCTTAAAATATTGAATTATTGTTTATATTTTAAGTATTTTGAATTTTATTTAGGTTTGAATATGATTAACGAACTTGTATTTCGTTCAATATTTCAGCTCGATTGAAGGTGTTGTCAGTGACTTTTTCAATGAAATGATTAAAAAAAAAAAAAAAAAAATTGAATAATTTTATGGATGATAAATATTCAGGACGCAGTCATTATAAAGTTTTTATTAGTGCCGACGTTTCTACCCAAACAGGCGGATCATCATCAGGGCATGGTTCGAGCACTGAAGATATTCAATATGAATACCATCAGTGTTCGAACCCTAATGATGAACCGCATGTTTGGGTTGGAACGTCGGTACTAATAAAAAGTTTATAATTAGTCTGAATGTTTATCACCCATGATATATAGAACAATCGACTCATTTCCTTCAATGATTGAATAATTTTATTTTGGATATTTAGCATATAAAATGAGAAATATGAAAAATATAAATACCGGATGAAAATAACATTCAGATCTCAGCAGGAAACTTCTTCGCTCATTTTATGCTAAAATATGGACCAGTTTTTCCTACTACTACAAAAATATCCACCTACGCATATATAAATGTTAGTCTGTAGAATAATTTTAATGTAAGGAAGAGATTTATAAAACAAAAGATTTACAAGCTTCAATGATTGAATAATTTTATTTTGGATATTTAGCATATAAAATGAGAAATATGAAAAATATAAATACCGGATGAAAATAACATTCAGATCTCAGCAGGAAACTTCTTCGCTCATTTTATGCTAAAATATTGACCAGTTTTTCCTCGTCCTACAAAAATATCCACCTACGCATACATAAATGTTAGTCTGTAGAATAATTTTAATGTAATTAAGAGATTTATAAAACAAAAGATTTACAAGCCATTTATAAAAAAAAAAAAAAAAATAATATCGAAACGGGCCTCCAAGGCAATTCTAAGTCTCTATAAGACCCAAAGAAATGTTGTGAGAACATGCAATAATATATCGGAAGAGTTCACAACTAATCAAGGTATTAGGCAAGGGTGCAGTCTATGTCCTCTACTATTTATACTAGTTCTAGATAATGCAATAAAAATAGCAAAACAAAATATGAGATCATATCAAGTGGGATACAGAAATCTACAGTCTGTATTTTTCTCTCTGATCGCTTATGCAGACGATCTGGTGGTTTTCGGAAACCTGCAATTCAACCTCCGCATTCTTAAGGAAGAATTAAATAAGATAAACATGCAAATGAAAGTGGAAAGAACCAAAACTATGAGGATTGGCAGGAAACAAGGAAGAGCAGACAGAATAGTGCACTTGAGTGGAGTTCCATTGGAACAAGTGAAAACTTATAAATACCTTGGTGCCCATATCAATGATCATGGATGGATCTACGGAGAAATAAAGAAAAGAGTGAAATCTGCAGGAAGGTGCTTCAACGCCATCAAGAAGGGATTCTTAAACAAGAGAGAAGTGAGTAAAGAGACCAAAACGACCGTGTACAAAAATACTTTCCTCCCCATAATGACCTACTCCAGCGAGTCATGGACCCTCATCACAAAGCACATCAGCCAGATTCAGGCCATGAAGATGCGATTCTTGCGCATGGTCGAAGGAAAAACAAAGAGAGATCGCATAAGAAACTCCATAATACGGAAAAATCTGAACGTAAGATCAGCAGAAACTGTGATGGAGGAAAATCGTTTGAGATGGTTTGGTCATGTCTCTCGAATGCCAGAGAATCGAATGGCCAGGATAGCGTTGGAAAGTAAAGTGGAGGGAAGAAGAAGGGAAGGCTCAGGAAGACCTGGGAGAACAGTGTCAAGGAAGCCTTTGACAGAAGGGATATTGACTGGAGGAGGAGGCGGCAGTTGGCTCGAGAGTTGTGGATTCGGCTCTACAAGAAGGCTCCTCACACCGCCGAAGAAATAATAATAATGAAATCTAGTTAAAAATCATTGATTTGTAGAATATTAGTAAAATTATTATATTTTATTATTGTTTTTTCAAGAACTGGAACTTCCGTAAAGTATTTTAGATTCAATTTGTTATAAGAAAGTTCTTATATATTTTTTTTTGAATAGTTTTTCCTCTATATTTTTGAATTTTGAAAAAGAATTTTGGATTTTGTGGAATGCAATATTTTAAAATATTTTTTTTTTAATTTTTGAGGTAAAATAAAAATAAATATCATTTCGTAAGTCTGATTCATTAATGGTGATATTTATAGATTTTCTGTTTAATTGTTGATGTGCTGATATATCATTTTTTATATATATATTTAGAATAATTTTAGTAATACTCTTTATCCTGGAAAAAAAAAATAGTTATTTTCTAGATTTTATTGGCTTTGTATTTATGATAAATGTAGTGACGAATTAAACCTTCACTTATATCTGATACTTGTACTGCTACTGGTGGGGAGAACTAGTCCGCCAAATGGGTCACTAACTTGTTGCCGACCCCTGACAGCTACCTTGAATTTGCCGCCGCTTACATCCCAGAGCGCGGTTGTCACTAGCCATTTCCACCCAGGTGGGAATCGAACCCACGACGTTCACAGAATCGGACACTCTGGAATCCACGCCCCAACGTGTTCGACCATCCCGTCCTCTTCCATTTATAAAACTTTGTCGTATCGAATTTTTATTGATGTTTCGCAGATTTCTTTCCCATCTTAAAAGAATTCTTCAAAACTATGTGAAATATGGTTATTATGTTATTTGTAACGTTGTAATGAAATAAAAATAATAGTTTGTATTTTCTTCTCCATTACGACATTTGTTTTGTATTTAATTTTTTTTTTTTTTCGCTATGTTTGATAGAATCATAATTTTGAAAATATTTTATTTTTAAGTGAAATTAGAAATATGCTCTAAACCAATCTCTCATGAATCATCAACCCGTTGACCATGAAAATGGATCAGTTATAATGTTTGTTTTTGCAACGAATGAACAATAAATGCACTTATTATTAAAAGTTTTAATGATACTTTATGACAACCTGGGTTGATGTATAAGAGTATAATCACGCTTTTCATCCTATTATTTTCGATTACTAAATCTATTCTGACAACGTTTCTTAATGCATTCCTATTCGAAAAAAAACGCTAAACAATAACTTCTAGATTCCTTTTATTTTTATTTATTTTTATATAATCAAAACACTCGTACGATTTGTACAGTATTAAAATTTGTTATGCCAATGACGGCGATTGAATGGGCGACGGGAATTATTTTTTTTTAATTTACTTTCTTATTTATTATATATATACGTAGTAGGGGAAAGTATTGTGAGCATTAAAAATTTAGAATCCGTGTATTAAACGGAAATAAATGATTCAGGTTACACATGTTCCCATAAAACCAAACCACAAGTCTTATAAATTGGTCTTTGTATATGTGGAGAGGCTAGTTCCAGAACGAAAAATCTTACGAAACTGAAATTATGTAAGGATATACCCGGTATATTGCAACTTTTTCCACAGTAAGTTCCACAATGTAAATATAAGTCTCATCAACTCCTAGTTTCCTCCTTTGTTTTTCCCCACATCGACTATGGCTGTATGATGTACGGTGGACTCTCCGGAGATTCCGAGACCAAACTTAAACGCCTAATGAGTTGCGCACTACGATTTGTTTTCAGAATCTCAAGGGATACGCATATTACCCAGTATTACACTGAGTTGAGGTGGCTCTACCCATCCTATCGCCGTCAGTACTTCCTAGCCACCTTTCTGTACCAAATCATTAGAACTCATCGACCCTCCTATATTTTTCACAGCTTACAATTCAAATACTCCATCCAATCCCGTCCCACCAGATCTCGTACTTCCGACCTCTATCCTCCTCCTCACCGAACTGCTGCGTTTGACAAATCCTTTGCAATACAAGCCGCCTCCCTCTGGAATTCCATCCCTGCTGATATTCGACACGCTCAATCAGTTTCCTCTTTTAAACCTCTCCTCTTTAAGCACCTACTCCTTTCTCAATCCGAATGATTGTGAAATATATCTAAGAGAAATATCTGAGCACCACCAGAGACTACCTCAATTTATTAAGGTTATTTTAGTTTCTCATATATATGTACAATTTACTTGTTCTTTTCTTTCTCTTTTCAGTATTTTTATCTTAAGTCAACTTTTATTGTAAATATACAATTTAATTGTAACCACACAGACATACAATCTGTATTTATATTTTGTTCTTAAGGGACAACAGTCCCAGAATAATAAAACATTTTTTTAATTTCATTTCATTTCAATATCGACCAAATGATAATAATACTTTACATCGATTTCATACACTTTTACAATTTATAGCAGTTCCAATAATTTTTATTAAACTCGTCACAACGATGTAAAATTGAGTGTTCTATTATATCCGTATATTATATTGTATTCGTATACTAAGTGTTCTATTATATTCGTATACTATGTATAATATTAACAAAGTGTTTTATTTGATTCATCTTTGGATTCCGTAGGCGGTACCACGTCTCCAGTTGGTATGCAATATTTTAGTGGCTCTATCCACTTTTCGGATGGCAACATGTCATAGATGTATTTCTTTTCCGAACATTTACAATCAAAAAGCCATCTTAACTTCTCGATTTGTTTACCACTCGTTCCTCTGTCCATTCGTTTAACACGAAATCCTATCCCACAAACCTATTTATTCCTTCTCATAGAACTGCTTCTTTTAAAAAATCCTTTGTCAAATCCTTGTTTTGGAATTCCTTCCCCACCCTTATACGAGAATCCTCCTTCTTAACCTCATTTAAACATCATTTATTCATCCAACTCCTCAGCAATCTATCTACCGGACGTAAGAATACGATTTCGTATTTAAGAGCTGTCACCCAAATTCTTTTGTTGTATTATCTATAACATAACACTTTAATATCTATAACTATGCCTATTCGTACAAATATATGAACAAACTCATTTATATTTATCTACAATTTAATATGTTTACTTGTTCTCTGTTCTGTAAATTATTTGTAATTTTGTTAATTATTAAAGGTCTCTCATTGTTAATAATGATACAAAACTAACCGGAGAAGGAAACGTGCGTAATATTTTCTTGGGTTGAAAACAAACTTCGAAAATAAGAATATGTATTAATATAGATTTTAGACTTATCTTTCTAACGTTAGTATCTATCTATCTAACTTCCCCACCGTCAGTTCGCGACTAGAAGCGACTTGGGTCCTCCCGGACTACTGGATTTCACAGATTCTCACGGGGCATGGGGGTTTCCGAGCAAAGCTCGTTCAGTATGGTATAAATATCGATCCCCTATGCCCAAGTTGTGGGGTACCAGAGACCGCTGAGCATGTAGTACTTATCTGTACGGTCTATGAGTCACTGAGGGCGAAACTGTTGAGAGAAACAGGTCTCTTTGTCGTAACAGAGAGAGATCTTCCTCAACTTATGGCCAAAGACAAATATGATCACTTCAATCGATTTATATATGGATGGAAAGAAGTTGTACTACCAACTCACTTCTCTTTGGGAAGAAGAAGAGAAGCTGCACCGGGGAGGCCACCGGAATAGATAGAAGAAAAGAAAACCAGATACAAGTGAAGAGAAGAGCAAGCTGTGTGCACAGCTCAGAAAAATAATGTAATAGCCAGAAAATGCAGCAGTGGGTTGTTATGTAACAGTAACATCCCACTGATGCAAATACCCGTATTGCCTTCAGGCAGGGGAGGGTTGAAAATAAAATAAAAAAATAAATCTATCTATCTAACGTTAATATGATCTTAGAATGTAGTAGATATTGACGTAAAGAAAATTTCTTCTAATTGTTGTAGTTAATAATGTCTACTGGTCCTTAGTACCAGTAATGCGACTGAGCAAGAGGCGCTGAAATCCCTTAGAGTCTTACCTTTCCTTCCATGGTGGGGGGAAATGGATTGGCCCAGAGTGAATGAATTCTTTAAATATTATATAAAAGTATGCTTGTGTTAAAGTGGTTATTTTGATTACTTTATTTCTTTTTGTTTCTATACATTTAGTTTTAGTATTATTATTTTTCTGTATAATTTATTTATTTCATTTTAACGATTATATGCCATTTTCATCTGCACTGCAGTATGTATTGGATTGGCGAATAAGTCTTTTCGGTTTTAAACAAAACAATAAACAAAAGAAGGGTTTTAAAATATTCAAAAAACAACTTCTATAAGAAATAATATAAAAGTCTCTATCCTACATTGACGTAGGTATTTATTTTATTTGCGTTTTTTCGACAAATTCCATTTTGATCTAAATGGTATTATATAAGCAGCATATTTCCAGGGATAATCTCTTATGAATAAATCTCAGATACCTTACAACCACCGTTCCTTATGATGTTCAAAAACATACATATGATTGTAGTTTCGAAATACGTGTCAATAAAACTGGAGTCAAAATTGACACTAAAAATAAATTTCCGTTATGTAATGATCAGGTAAAGGGGTATCTATACCAAATTTTAGTTATTCAATCTGACATAATATTTTACCCCAAATTCATAAAGTTAAAAAAAAAAAAACTATTTTCGCCTATACCTTATTCTTAGAATACACCCAATAAATTTATGAAAATACTCAGTTTTTTATTGTTTGTTTCCATTCAGTTTGCAGAGTACACTCACTTTGTATAGGTGATTAATCTATTGAAAAAAAACTGATTCTCTTTTTTAGCAGTAATTTTTTTTTCTTATATAGATTTTTTTTCTGTGTGCGTTTTTAATCCTTGATACTCTGTGTAAACATGTGAATATAAAAAAAACATGTTTTGGTTATTAATGATTGTTTCTATGCTGATATTGCCATTTCTATTTCAGATTGTTATGAGATGTATGGTTTAAAATTATACTGTACCTCTTGCTATAAGAATAGAACTCTAATTGTAAGACAATAAAAAGAAATCAAATAAAAAATAAAATTTTGTAAGAAAAAATTCATTTCTAAGTACTAGCGGAAAATTGGTTATCTTTTGTTGTTAATTTCTGAATGTATGTGTTTGCAATATAGTAAAAAGTTCAACTAACTAAAAAGTATTCATGAATAAAAGTTAACTCACGAGTTTCCTATGGTAGCTTGGAGTAAAGTGCAACTGACGGCGAAGAATAACTGACTGCGACTTCATTTACTTCAGGCCATATTAAAAGACCTGATCGCTAAGTATTTATTACTTGTCCTTGCAAATAATTGAAGAAAATCCAATTCATTTTAATTTTTCAGAACTAAATCGGTATTGCGTGCATGAATCTACTTCCATGACGTTAACGAGAATATAATTTGAGGAAACACACCTTTGCGGAAAAAATCAATAGTAGAATCGTTATAAATAAATACCAGGATGTATACAGAAGGCTGTGCGTATTTCGTTTTAAATACTTCCAAGCAATTCTTTATTAAGTTGTTTATTGGCAAGTATAAATATAAAATTGAAAAAAATTTTACAATCTAGTTGTGAGGTTTCTACCCTCGGCTAGTGAAAATTCTCCATAGACAGTACAGTAAATTTTAATGAAGCTAGTATTTAAAAAAATATGATACAAAAGGGAAGTAAATAGATAAAAAACCTATGAAAAAAAATAATAAAATGACAATTATGAAATAAAATAATAGTTTATTTATAGAACATACGTTTGAGTCTCTTATGTTCATTAATCTTACAAGAAATATCTGCTCTAGAGTAGTTGAAAATTTCCCATATGTCGTCTTCCCATACGTCTTTGTGTGTTTTTAATGAATAAATAAGTTATATTTTTAATTTATAAATAATGTAGTGTAGTCTCATGTACCAACAATGTAATAACTTTTTATTTCAATATTTAGCTTAAAATATTTGGGAAATAGAGGGAATAACTTTTGTATGACTAGCTATTTTTAAAATATATTTATTTTAATGTTAATTTGGTTATAAAAGGATAATTTATTATCTAGATGAAATTCTAAGTACATTCTGAGTCGTTTAAACGTAATCTTTCACGTTTTATTAACGAAAAGTCTCAGAAATGGACGCTTTTCAACGGTCATGCAGGCCTACAAATTTCAAGGTTCATTATGGTGGCAATTATATTAAAAAATGATTATAAGATTTTAATCTTTATTCACTACTTCGCATTTCGAATGTGAGAAAATAGAAATAAATTTTAATTGAAATTAAATGTCATGTTTGAAAATGACATAAAGTTAGAAAATAAAAGATGGTCTATTAGAAAAACAAAAGAATTTATTTTTAAAATCTGAGAAAAAAGATTATACAGGGTGTTCTGTATTTAATATCCCCCTAGAGGGAAATATTTAAAAGGTTGATGGTAGAAATCAAGATCTACAAAAAAGAAAAACATACAAACAATTGCTCAATTCCTAGCAGAAAATTTAAGATGTTTTTTAAGCTAGTCACGTTTTTGTTAAATAGGAAGCGATAACTAAAAAATATTTGATTTAAGTAATTAAACATTGCTCCATAGTAAACTAGAGAAAATTTTCTTCAGATTAAGATAGACTACTGCAGCACTTACTAGACAAACACTCTAAGCTTTCAATCAATTACAAACAACTCATATATATATGACAATAATAAGACCTATTTGGACTTACGGAATTGAGCTTTGGGGCTCCACTAAACCATCGAATTCTTCTCGTATCCAATCCTTACTATCCAAAATCCTTCGTAAAATCCTCAACGCTCCTTACTTTGTCACAAATAAAATCATCCATAAAGACCTTAATGTTCCATATGTTTCCGATTTGGCCCAATCCAGATACCTATCCTTCCATAACAAACTGCAGAACCATCCGAATGGTTGACCACTCGTTTCAAACCTTGCTTCCTTCTCGATCCCTGATAACCCTCCGAGACGTCTGAAAAGAAGATGGCCTCGGGACCTTCTAATATAGAACTTTAATTTGAGTTCTACCAATGAGTAGTTTCTCTTCATTTTGTACATGTCATGTTACCAACGTCACATTTACTTGTTGTATTTTCCATGTAATACACTTGTAAATTTCATTAAAATAAAAAAATATTAAGATAGAGTTTACCATTGTTAAAACCATTTAAAGAGAACTCCTGAGTGGCTAAACTAAGCTAAGTTCTGTTTTAAAAAAAATTATAAATTATTCGCGATTTTATGTTATCAGTCTTCAACTATACTACATTTGACTCCACTTTTAGAAAACTTCCAAATATAAAAAACTTCAATATATATATTGTGAAATTATTTTTATTTCACAATATAATATTTAAATGACGATCCACCCGGGACTGCTGTACAAACTCCGAAAATTCCTACCACCTACATACTTCCTTATTATCCGTTCTTACCTTAGTGATAGATACTTTAAAGTAAATCACAATAACGCCTATTCATCCCTTTTTTCCCAGTCCGCTGGTGTTCCTCAATGTAGTATCCTAGGTCCTATCCTCTATACAGTTTATACAGCTGACATCCCTACCTGTCCCAACACTGTCATCACCACATATGCCGATGACACATGTATCCTATCAGTAAACAATGACTCAGCAATTGCACCCCAAATGCTTCAATCACACATCATAAATCTAGAAGAATGGTGTCAAAACTGGAGAATTAAAATAAACTCCAATAAATCCCACCAAATTACCTTTACCCTTCGTCGTAAACCAACGACTTCCTGTCCTACAGTTTCCTTTAACAATACTCCACTTATCCCTGTTGAGCAAATCCGATACCTAGGACTCCACCTGGACAAACGACTAACTTGGAATCCTCATACTAGACTGAAACGACAAGAAACCGCTCGACGTTTCCGATTACTTCAGCACTTACTAGACAAACGCTCTAAACTTCCCATTAGTTACAAAAGACTCATATACTTGACTATAATAAGACCTATTTGGACTTACGGAGTTGAGCTATGGGGCTCCACTAAACCATCGAATTCCTCTAGCATCCAATCCTTACAATCCAAAATCCTTCTTAAAATCCTCAATGCTCCTTACTTTATAACTAATAAAATTATCCATAAAGATCTTAATGTTCCTTATGTTTCAGATCTGGCCCAATCCAGATACCTATCCTTCCATAATAAACTTCAGAATCATCCCAACCCTCTCGTTTCTAACCTTGCTTCCTCTTCAATTCCTGATAACCCTCCGAGGCATCTGAAAAGAAGATGGCCCCGTGATCTCCTAATGTAGTCATATCATTAGAGTGCTACCATTGGGTAGTTACTCAGCAAGTGTATTCATGTCATTATATCAATTATGTCCAAATTTACTTGATGTATTTATGTAATACAGTTGTAAATGTCATAAAGAAATAAAAAAAAAATGACGATGAAAAAAATATTTTGTAATATAGATACATAGATATTTTATTTGTTTTTGAGGGGTTCCCCATACAAATAGAGCCTAGCTTGCCTATTGTACAATAACATGGTTTTACAAATTACATACATTTCATTTAGATATAAATAAAATTTACAATATTTTACGTTTAGAATGGGTTTTACAAAACATGAATAACAATAAAAATTAAAAATATAAAACGATTACTGCATAATAATAGTTATGTGAACCTGCGACTATGATAGAAACAATAAAAAATAAAAATATTTATATATATAAACAAAATATTACTTTTAAGATAAATTAAAAATAAACACTTAATAGAACATGGGCTATGATCAACAATTTTGTGTATGCACATTGTGTACTCCCATCATGTAATAGTAAATTTTATTTAACTTATCTATACAATCGATATTCAATATGGTTTCGATGTTGTGGTTATCAGAAGATTCTGAGATGAAGTTTTGAAGGAATTTTTGTCTATAGTCATTGTATGTTGGGCAGTGAAGGAGAATGTGATGTAGACTATTGACTGCATGATATACAAGTTTCTTTAGACTCAATCGAAAAAGTTCTGTTTTTTTGCATAGATTCTGATATGTTCTGGGTTTGCAGCTCTTAATTGACTAACACATCTCAATTTCTTTATATGGATTTTGAATGTAAGGTACATGTCGGGATCGGGAGCATTGTAACTGCATTGCATTCTGTATAAAGGGTAGTTAGTGGAGTTTAAAGTTCTTTGTATGTCGGCTGAGAAATAATAGTTGTGTGCTTTTTCCAGGATGTCGTATTTGTATCAAAGAAGTCCATTTGTGTGGTGAACAGAAAGCTCTTCTGCAAAGGCATTAAGCTCGGCTATTGCTCTAAATTGAGACACCCAATTGAAGTCTATGTCAGGCTTATCCTTGTCTAATGATTTAAGTCTATTAAAACAAAGTTTTGGGAGTCTCTCTTCTGGCATGAACTCGAGTTTGGTCCATAGATTTATCATCTTTTTTATAATTTTCATGCTTAATGGTTCTCTTCCTGTTTCAAATATATATATATATTGTTATGTTTAAATAAATAATATTTTAAATTTAATCACCTAGTATTAGCTCACCTAGCTTGGATCTGTAATGACGAGGAAATCCTTCACTCATCACTCACATGACACGCACCTTGAAGAGGGATTAAATGTTTAATCATATCCTTTTGGGGTTAAAATTATATTATAATATTACATTTCACCTCCGAGCTCGCCATTGGTTTTGTGATATTCGCTAAAGCTATTCTGTTAAAAGTATGATTTAAGGTATTGTAAAAACAATAAGTAATTAGTTCAGCTGATAATATTAATATATTTTAAAGAACAATATTTACAATCATATTACAAGTAATAAATCTACGTTGTATGATGTAGTTCAAGCAATTATCTTTAAGCATAGTGTTTCTTTCACACATAGTCTTAATTGACACATAGTGATATGGAATAATATTAATAAAATATTCATTTGAACATTTCAAGATTGTAAATGCATTTTGAAGGAATATTAAATTTAAATACTGCAAGAAATCTCAATTAGAAATAATTAGTTATGTAAGCAATTTAGGCATGGTAGATTATGAAGGGATTAATAAATCAAAATGGTTTCGATATTTTTACATAAAAATCACCCCACTACTTTTCCCCTAATTCATTTCTGTGGAGTTATTGAAAAGAGAAGTGAAATGATAAAAAAGGAAAAGTAATTAATAGAGATATTAATTAAATGTAATTATTAAAACAAAACGTGCATTGAAAGTGATACATTGTAATTGGGAACCTTAGTAATCATATTGTCCGTCCCTGTGATTATGAACTCCTTTATT